TTTCGTACATAAGACATTGCGTCTTGTGCATATTCGTTCATATGCCGTGGGCTACCAATATACGAAGATGGCAATATAGTTAAACGTCCGATGTCATTAACATTAGCATCATTCGCTATCGCATCTTGCAAATGAATATATTCTTCGGATCTTAATTTTGCTTGGTTGAAACGAATAAAATTAAGACGTTCAGTCTCTATTTTGGCATACATATCAACGATGTACTGATGATATAGTTTACCACATTTTAAGATATAATTTTGTTCTTGTGGACGAATCATCAATCGATACGAATAAAAATTCATGGCACTAACTTTTTTCTGTATATGTAGACCTGAAAATAATTACAAAATGTGACTTTAGAAAGTTGTAGAAATGAAATGTCAACACACTAAAAATAGGTCAATTATTTACCTGTTCGTGGATCAATCATTGGTATATTGATATGGTAACCATCGTCACCTTTCCAATGCAATATTGGGTACTGTAATGCATCGTAACTACGATGAAGTTCCGAAACACGTTGCAATTGCTCATTTCTACGATGAAGTACAATATCACGGGATTGAAACTGATCACCAAGAATTACAATTGCAACCTCATCAATTGTTGGTGCATTAAATCGCCTTGCATGCTCTCCAAAAGGTGTTCTATCAGCTCTTATTACGATTTTGTGATTATCAGTTGGCATACGATCGAGAGCAATTTTAAACAATTGAACTAATGCGTTATGCTGATGGAAAAACCTTTGTAGCTCACGAATAATTTCTCGTCTTGTATTCGAAACAATTGCACAACGTTGATCCAATTCACGATTTTCATCACCAATAAAATAAATTTGCAAAAATTGATGATCAGCGTCGGGGTATGGCAATAACGAACCAGCTTGATGATAAATCTGGCCCTGAATCTGTAACATGTATACAATTTTAGGTAAATCTTATATCAGTTTTTTTTTAAATATACTTTATGCTTCAGATTGATACAAACATGGAATAATCCTGTTGAAGTATTTACCTTAAACGTCGGCATAAAATTATCTCTAATAATTTTAGTTGCACCAAAAGAAGTCATTTGAAATGCCGAATTGTATTGTTGAATATGACTCAGAAAGTGCTTCGACGCTTGCGATGTCCCAAAAATAAATGAATACAATGGTTCGGGTGGAGTTTCTAATGCTGGCAATCTCACTTTGCCATTAGCACAACACATGCCGGGCGTTTCACCTGGAAAGTTAGCCGCATCACAATGTGGACATATTGCGTCCATCATTCCAATGTATCCATACATACTATAATCAATCTGACTGTTGTAATTAAAAGCAGCACGCATCATTTCAGCCAAAACAGCACGACGTATTCGTGATGGCCGTGCAAGATTCAGTACAGGTACTGGGTTAACAAATCCATTGCGTGCATTACGTTCACGCTGCGATGCATTAGCTTGTGCGCGTTCATCTGCAGTCTGTGATCGTCTTAGTAATGCCACATCATTTGCATTACGCGTTCGCCGACCTATATTTGCTCGTCTGGCTGGTGGCATTTTTCCCGTATGCACATATGTTTTCGCTTAAAAATCGAAAAAAAAAATTAGAACAAAAAAAAAACAAATTCCCAAGAAGCTGTCGCATATGATGCTATGTGAAATCATATACGGCAACTTAGAAAAGTACACATAAATTCAGGACTCACCGTTTGTATGAATGCACTGCAAATGCAATTATGTGAAAAGAAATTTATCGCTGATAATATGCTTTAATCAAACCACGTCCAAAATGAACTGACGGCATGAATGACATAACAACGTGCTTGTCCTGTCAACAAAACTTCAAAAAAGTTTCTGTGAAAAAAGTTTCTATTGAATTCATTTATTACAAAAAATGTGACAAATGAGGAACCGCTCGACCGATTTTGTGCAAACTTCACATAAACCATCTACTAAATATGCCGACCAAATCCTAAGCATTTGGTTTGGATAGGTGAGCCCGTTCTTGAGTTATGGAATTACAACGAAAAGTGGCATTGATTTTTATATGTATAGATTCTTCTCTTAAGTGTAACAGACACTGTATCGAAATTGGTTCAGCCAACTGCGAGATACTCGCGCACATCCAAACATACATACATACAATATACATACATAAATAGTACATACCTACATACATACAGGTCAAATTGAGAGCCTCATTTTTTTAAGTCGGTTAAAAAACAAGTATTTATCATCAAGTGAGTTCATTAAAAATTTGGGATAACTTACCATTATTAAAAGTAACTTTCAACTTTCCTGTTCCATCACTGCTGGCAACAACAGCTTCTCCTGATATCGTTGCTAGTTCTTCATTAACAACTTGACTATTCAATATGGAGACGGCGCCATCAGGAAGTAACTCGTATTTAGCACGGTTACATTGTCCACTTTGTGTTGGCTGCGGGTATCTAGAGACTTCTATCCATTCACCCGTGTACTGGCGATGGAATAAAATGTTATAATCACGTGAAATGTTTATGTAGTATAGAGGTAGAATATTTTCGTTGGATTATTTTCTAAATATTCATTTTTGATACTTGAATGATACACAACGAGTATGTGTTTTTTCTTACGTTACTTAATACAGTAATTTATTAGAAACAAGATATTCACTTTCTCCGCATCGAAATCCGCAACTCCTTTAATACTGGTGTCACAAGATCCAGTCAGCTCGACGAAATCCCATGTTGGATCAAACTCTGGATAATAGAAACAATCGTCTGGTTCTTGGCGTGTGGGCTGATAGTATTCTTTGTGGAGACCTTGGGTCCTGCTTACGACTGCATCAATGTTAGATTGGTCCTCTAAGTTCAGTGTTCCTGTTTTGCTAAGCACCCAACTGCCGACTAAAGAAAGGAAAGCATAAGTAGGTAGGTAACTTTTTTAGAAATCAAAAAAAAAATATATATTAGTAAGTAAATAGTCTCTGAAATTACCTCGTCTGTTTCCATTTTCTAAAGTATCGCAGGTGTATACAAGAGCATAACTTTCGTAGTTGGTAGCAAGGACGTAATAATCTGATTTTCTGGGCTCTGAAATATTTAATTTTGCATTATTGACAATTTGTTTTTATTCAGAAACGGTGTATCTAAGAAAAACGACTTCAAAAACCAAAAACTAATAACAAACAAAAAGTGCGAACTAAAAAAAAAGTCCTCATCAATACAAATTAATCAAGCCCAAACACAGGTAGTTAATATTAACCGCTAAGAAGTTCTCTCGAATATCTGTCTGCTGCATCATCAGGTCGACTCCACACCCTTATCAAATTGTATTGTTAAAAATCTAAATTGAAAAACATAATAGACGCATTACTTGCCCCTTGAATTTTCTAAAGTTTTCTTCGGTTTCCCTAGGATCCCATCATCAGATCCTAACCTCATTGAAATGGGACCATCTCGGAAGAAAACCATTTCAAACAAAACAAGAATTCTGGATATCGGTTCACAAATGGCGAAGTAATGCGCGAACAAACAAAAAAAGTCGGTAATGAAGTCGGTTAAAAATAGGATTGCATTGAGTTTTGTAAAACTGACGGCTTGTAATATTTTTATCTCCCTTTCATTGATGATGGAATTGAAAGATGATAGATGCTGAATTGCTGATTTAACCTTAGACTAGTAAAAGTATAATAAGTCAGGTTGGACTCTTTAGATTTTGTTTGAAGTGGTAAAACGATTGTAAGCACTTTTTTAGTTTTTACCGACTTCAAAAAGATGGAGGAGGTACTATGTTCGGCTGATTGTTTTTTTTTTGTTTGTTCGCGCAGTACTCCGCCATTTGTGAACCGATTTCCAAAATTCTTGTTTTGTTTGAAAGGGTATACTCCCGAGATGGTCCCATTTCCATAAGGTCAGGATCTGATAATGGGATCCTAGGGAAACCGAAGAGAACTTTCGAATACAAAACACTACAATTTGATGAGTCTAGAGTCGACCTGATGATGGAACCAACAGACAGTCGAGGGAACCCCGCAGCGGTTTATATTAACTACCTTGTGTTTGGACTTGATTAATTTGTATTAATGAGGACTTTACACCTAGATAGAGTGGGGCTGTCATTAAGGGTCTGATGACGAAGAAGTGTAATTGTTAAGGCAACTCCTCAACCGTATACAGTAACTACCTTGTGTTTGGCCTTGTATAATTTGTATTGATTAGAACTTTGCACCTATGTAGATTATAAGTAACCAAACGGGTATAATTATGTAGCTTTACACTGAAAATAATGAAATAATAAAATTACAACTGCGTTTAAAAAACCGACTTCAAAAAACCAAAAACTAACACCTAACAAACAAAAAGTCAAAACTAAAAAGCAAAAAATAACTATTATTAGTATTGATAGGCTACCCACCCACTGATAGGTTAGAAGTCGGTAATATCCCTATTAAAATATTAGACGAGCGAGTTGACCAAACATAGCATAGGGCAGTACAGCGTAGCATACCTCGATGTTGATTTGTCACCCTTATAATTATGTACGTGGTGAGTGCCGCGAGCCTTCATTGCTTTTTCAAAAGCGTGCGGTCCGTGTATTTGTGAATGCATAATTATGTTAGGCGTTTTTTTACAAACTGTTATTATATTATTGAATCTTAATATACGCGTTTGTACATCATTTTATGTATATTTGTTCACGATATTTGTAAGGTAGACAAAGTCTTTGTCTTTGTAGGTAGGCAAGTATTTGCCTATAATTATGGACAGCACGCCACTGACTCCTCTATTAAGAAATTTAAGCAAACCAAATTTCTCCACTAATAACCCACCACTAATAGCATATCAAAAAAATGACTGTACTACAAATTAACTACATATTATATCGTAAAACAAAAATACTGATTTGCACACAAATTGTTCAATATATTACAACGGAATTTCCAAAATAGAATTTCCATTTACAGTTTAGGTTAGGTTATGAATTATTAGAATTACAAAAAGTTCAGATTAGGTTAGGTTACGAATTACTAGATAGTATAATTGATTTATTTGATGAGCAAATTTATTTAACATTAACCAGTTTATATAGGAAATTTGCTATGCTATGGATTAATGTTTTTATATCTTTGATCAACTACAAGTAACTAGATAACATAACATAACGTCACGCTTTTTATCCCCGAAGGGGTAGGCAGAGGTGCACATTATACGACTGTACAATGTAACACCCATTTTTCACTATTTATGTTATGAGTCCCATGTAATAGGGGGTGAGCCTATTGCCATATACCGGGCACAGTTCCAGACTGAGATTTTTTTTTAAAAACTCAGTGATACTTTGCCCGATCTGGGAATCGAACCCGAGACCCCTTGCTCAGCAGTCGCAATTAAGACCACTCGGCCAACGAGGCAAATTTATTTATTTATATTTTATTACACACACAGAAAAAAAATTGTAAATAATGTATTGTAAATTGTAAAAATAGTAATTTGAGTACAATGGGCGGTCTTATCACACGCGTCGATTTCTTCCAGACAACATTTGGATGGAATGTTTGAAAAATAATTTAGTGTGCAATTCAGTATTTTTGGTGGTAATTTCGAATATTTTGATTGAAAAAAGCATATTTTTCTATTACCTTCTAAGTTTACTACCTATAATACGGATAATTAGTTAACGTAAACCAAGATAATTATTTAAAACAATTTAATTGCTTACCGCCATTGACATTGAAAGTAACTTCCAGCTTTCCAGTTCCATCTGTGCTGACAAGAACTGCCTGTCCTGATATCGTTGCAAGTCTTTCGTTCACAACTTGACGGTTTGTTACTGAGACGGCGCCAGAAGGAAGTGACGCGTACGTAGCACGGTTACACTGACCAGTTTGTGGTGGCTGTGGGAATCTAGCGAGTTCTATCCAATCCCCCATGTACTGCAAAAGAATGAAATATTACAATCAAACGAAATACTCACGTACTTTATGTATAATAATTTCTTTGGATAATTATTTCCAAATGCATATTTTTGATGATTAAACTGTCAAATACCAAACGGTCGCCGGTGACCGCAACCTATTGTTCTATAATTGTGCCCATAATGACGGTACTCGACGAGTTAAGAGCGTTAACGCCGTCCTAGCGGGATTTGGTTAAAAACTGCACTTTTCAAACGTGTTTTGACGATAAAATACTTATCTTACAAACATGTTAATTACCTAAATTATAAAATAATAAAATAAAAACTGCGTTTAAAAAACCGACTTCAAAAAACCAAAAACTAATAACAAACAAATAGTCAAAACTAAAATAAAAAACAATTATCATTAGTACTGATAGGTTACTCACCCACTGAGGTTAGAAGTCTGGCGCGTCTGGTGCGTTAAAATAATATTTAAGAAAACCTAATCTCGTCGACCCACGCGAAGCGTCATCGCTCTTAATGAACATCGAGTATTCAATAAATTGTGTATGTTCTTTCATTTTCTAATAATGCAATTTAAAATAAAATACATACTTTATCCAAATCGAATTCCTCCATTCCTTTGATTCTATTGTCGCAAGCTCCAGCAAGCTCGACGTATTCCCATGTTCCATCAAAATCGGGGTAGTAATAACAGTCGTCTAGTTCCTGGCTTGTGGGCTGGTAGTAACCTTCAAATATATCTAAGGTGCCGCTTAACTGGACTTTTTCATTAATCTTATCATTGTACACTGGGCTCAGTTTTCCGGTTCTGCTAAGCTTCCAACTGCCGACTTAAAATAAGGATAGAGTAAATAGAAATTTCCTGGCATAAAACAAAGCATAAATAGTAGCCAACTTTTGTTCTTTGGGTTTACCTCGTCGATTTCCATTTCCTACATTGTAGCAGCTGTATACAAGAGCATAATTTTCGTAGTCAGTCGCAAGAACGTAATAGTCCACGGTGTTACCTGAAACATGTTTTGTTTGCAGTAGTTGTAGCTTATAACTAACAATATTAGGTATATATTAACCAGTTTATATAGGAAATTTGCTATGCTATGGATTAATGTTTTTATATCTTTCATCAACTACAAGTAACTAGATAACATAACATAACGTCACGCTTTTTATCCC